ACACTTATGCACGACTGCATATCAACCAGCGTCAAACGTACTCATAGAGTGTTGGCATAGGTCATTGAAATCGTCAGCAAACAACAATTGGGTTGAAGTTCTTCCATTAATTCTTCTGGGTTTCCGTTCATCATGGAGAGATGACCTGAAAGCGGCACCAGCAGAGATGGTATGCGGCAGCACACCACGATTACCTGATAATTTTTTTCCGAACAATACACAAGTGGCATAAACGTATCTGAATTTGTAGAGCAACTACTCGCGCGAATGAACTCTCTAAAACCAGCGCCTACAACAAACCTTGCATTTGCCTTTCTTGAAGAAAACTTAACACTCCACACCAGCAGTTTTTGTACGCAGCGACGTAGCTCGTTAGCCTCTTCAACCACCATACGAAGGAGTATTTCCCGTAATCGAACGCAGGGAAAAAGTTTTTTAAAATCGAAATTAAAACGTAAACGTTTTCTTCGACCAAGAAAAGCAGCCTTCGTAGCCGAAAAAAACAAAACAACGTCACTTATCAACCTAAGAGAAATGATGTGGCGAACATGACATAAACTAATTCTAAATAAAATAAGTTATTGGGCTAATATGAATTGCAACCCTGTTGGTCAGAAAAATTGTCAATTTCCTTTATAAGTGACAACGAACGACCAACTTCACTTAATATTACAAGTATCACTCTCCTTGAATTAATAAATACCCAAATTTAATAAGTGTGCTAAAAAAATTCATTTTATTGTGGACATCCTCTACAGTTCAAACTCTCCAAGGGAAGCCATTAATATCGCAACACAAGTAAAGGAGATACTCATGACTGGATTTGAGCTCTGCAATTTTAATTCAAACTCCGCAGAGGTGGTAACAGCTTTGAGTTACGCTAAAGACGATGAAGTCAATGGCGTGAAGGATGGATGATCCACTCAGAGAGTAATAATGAGAGACTTGAAGATAAGTTTACTCTTTAATTTCCTACCCAGTCGATTTCAAGACTGGCATTATTATTGGCGTGATGCTGGTTCCTAGGTAGATGAAATTATCTACGACCTTACAGTTAGGACTGTCAATTGTGACGTAGGAGCCGAGTCGCGAATGCGATGATATTTTTTAGATGGCAAGAAATGTTTCGGCGCGGTGACGAAAGGTGACAGACGTCCTAAGAAAGTGGAACCCTTAGTGTGGTCATGTCCTTATTTGGTCCATTAGAGGTCCAATCTAACTTGGTCATTGGACCAAAGTTGTTTATAATAGAGGTCTGGAGGTACGAAGCGCGGTGGGATGAGACAGTTCCAACTAACATTGCAGCAGCATAAAGAAAATGTCGGAAGCAATTGCCAGCGATGGTCAACTACAATTAGGTTTTACTTCCGCACCGATGCACCTTCAGTTTCATACGTTCGTTGACGCGAGAACGCTTTTCCTGCCGCACTGGAGTATTAAAAACGATGGCGGTAAGGAAGAGGTTGCCTTCGTCTGCGCAAAATCTAAGTGCGCGTCTTTGAAGCCTCTTATCGTACTCATTTAGAGCTATACTGGGAATACGTTTACAGCAAACTAAATGTCAAGCGTGCTCGTTCAAGCCCGACAAGCGTTTCCTTTGGCGTGGCTCAACGACGGTAATCAAATGGATTCGAAGCGATAGTCGTAAATATAAGCCATATAAGCGTAATGGACGAATGGCGATGGATACCTACAGAAGAAAACGTGGCTGACGGAGCCACCAGAGCTAACGTTTATAAATTTCAATCCTTTTTCTTCATACAAAAGGTTGTGACACAGCTTGGGTCATGCTGTTTGTCAGAGCCCTCCGTTGCGTTCGTTCCAGGAGTACTTATGGTCCTAGTGCTGGTTACTTTGAAGAAGACAAGCTTATCTTATGTCGTCTGGTATAGGAGGAGTCGTTCTCAGAAGATTTGCAAAGAATCCGCAATGGACAAAATGTAGGCAGTCACAGCTCGCCGCTATAATTGCTGCCATATCTCGATAAGACTGACATAGGACATGCCCGTAGACGCATCGATGCTGCTATTTGTCTACCTGTCCACATTAGGCGGCCCTTTATATTGCCACTATGCACACATTTACGAAACTCCATACAACACATCATCGCGTTTGGATGGGCCACCAAAATTCCGAATCCACCATGTGTGCTATCCGTTCGTCGACTGAGAACGCAGTGTAATCGCCAATTGCAATGTAAGTTGCCTCTGCAAGACTGCTCCGGTTCTGCCTTTTATGGGGCCGCATCCTGCTGATAGTCTCTCTCCCTACGTAAGGCCCTTTACATATATGGGCTTGGACTAGCTTGGGTCATTAAACGTATCAGTACGACTCGAGGAGTACATTTAGAAATGGCGCACGGTGTGAGCATTGACTCGTGCATTACCGTCACCTGCAGAGGAGTGTTCCTGCGATTTAGGTCCGATAACGGGAAGAGCTTCGTCGGGGTCAATAACGAAGCCAAAATGTTCACAAAAGTCTTTAATCGCGAGCGCGTACAAGTAGAACTAAAGAAAAAGGGCGTTGACTGGGTCATCTATTCGCCGTTGAACCTAGCTGAAGGCGGTGTCTGGGAGAGAATCGTACGGTGCATGAGTATTGTACCAAAGGTTAAGGGAAGTCACTCCACGTGAACATGCATTAAATTTCTGTCTGCTCGAAGAGGAAATTTTCGTCAACTCCCGTCCCTTCACGCACCTACCCGTATCCGCTGATCAGGAACAACCGTTACCGCCATTAGATTTCCTGCGATGAGGTAGCAGTAGCGAATAGCTCGTCAGCTCAAGATCAATTCTGGATGAGGTGGGTGCTGGAGTACCTTTCCACTCTGATACGTCATGAAAAGTGTTGTTAATCACCTAAGACGTTGAAAGCAGGTGGTTTAGTATTCCTGTGTGACCTTCCAGAAGACAATGGTGTCGAAAAATAGTAGAGCGGGTGTACCATAGTAAAGATGGTGAAATTTGTCACAAGAGGACGTACGCACGAGCTCCGTTGTCAAGAGAAGAGCTGTCCCGCGACTAGCCGTTCTGGATGTTAATGCTAGTGAATATGGCTATTTTCGGCGAAAATGATGTGCCAGAACGCCACCTTACACTTAAGTTGTAAAAATTATTGGTTTGAACCAGTATAGCCATATTGTAAACTTGCCTTTATAGGTATTTTCACCTTATTATTCTGTTGGTTTTGTATTGAGGCGGATTCACCCCCGTATTTGAATCATTCGTTTTTAAATCACTTCAGACTACTCAAAAAGGCAAGTAACCGTAAGTAATATATGTTTCTTTTTATTATTTTATTTCATTTGAAATTTATCAAAATAAACCACATCCATTGAAGTATATGTGCGTTAAACGCGTTAAGGAACCCGGGATCAACAACAAGTACAATATTAAGTTTAAAGAAATAGTTGCTATCTAATCGTATGATTAGAACACACCCTTTATGTTTCAAGTCCCTACGATCAATGGTTTGGGCTGATGATTTATACGTCAGTAATTTGTCACCTCCACTTTTTCTAATTACAATATATATGTGCGTATGTACATATGTACAAGCGCCTTCAAACAACCACACACGTCAAAACAAACTACTGCACAATTAAGAGATGACAAAAACTAACGACGTGGTCGATCACTAACTAGTTACAAGAACAAAACACTATGGGCAAAAAAAAGCCTCGTGAATTTTGCCAACGCGATGGGGTGCACCCGAGGTGTGGTCCAACCAAACTGGTTACGAACCCACTTGCACCACTCCCGTGTTGCCGGAGGTAACTTAAACCTGAATTTATGACTTTGCTCGGGGTGCGGGATGCTAGAAGGATGGGTGAGGATGAAAGGAGGGAGCGAAACTGTCGGCACGACAAAACGTACAAAAACAATTGACAAAAAAATAATATGACACTTATGGTTCTCGGTCGAGATTGCATCCCGACTTCGGTGCTCCTCCACAAAAGGAAAAATAACTCCATTTCACGACTCCAACTGCCCTTGGCTCACCTGGCACACTACAGTATACTATTTATTCATTAATTTTTAGTTTTTGAAATAATTCGCAAGCCTGCGTAAGAAGCTGTGTTCGCTCTTTCGTAGATTGCTAGAATCTGATCCGGCACACACTTACGAGCCAGGCCGCAAGCTACGCATCGGCTTTCAGAACTCGCCTGCACTAGCCCCATCATTTGGCACCGCCCCCATTTACCAAAGGGACCGGGTTGTATTGCGCACGTCACCATGGCACACCAAGTACACTGAGAGAATTTTCCCCTCGCCGCTTTAAAGAAAAAGGCGACACCCTTTTTTCGGAATACCCGCGCAAAGCATTCCGTTTCCCTAATATTTGTTAGTGGAGGAACCGTTTTGGCGACTTGTACTTGTAGACTTGCACCACTGGGTAGGCACACACTGAACGCAACCATGCCATCAATCCATGGCTTCAAATAATGCAACTATTTTCCGACAGATATCACTGCCAACGCTTGGAGTGAAAGAAATATTATGCAAAACAAAGGAAATGAACAAACAAATACAAAAGAAGATTTTGTTGCGGGTAGTACGCGACAAATTCAGGAATACACTTTTTATACATATGTAACATGTACATCAACTTAGCGCGTCATACGGTTCAAAAACGATCAATTTTCATAAGTACCTAACTTTAAACTGAAATAAAACATGTATCAAAACAGAACCATGTATTGTTGAAACCACGAAAGGGATAACGTCCTTCAATACGTGGTGTGTGTCTTGATGGTTTTTGAACCAATAGAGAGACATACATGTTATTCTAAGCGAATAGCCGATGGAGATTTATCAACAGATTGACATTTCTTGTCACAATTAAAAAAATAGTTTTCTATAATTTAAGATGTATCATTACTCCATATTAATATACATTTCCTTTTTCCTACTAGTGAGGTGTGTCACACCACACAATGCGGTACATAACTTTAGGGTGGGGATTGAAACAAATACATACGAACTTCATTAAAAACTTACATTCCATTTTTTACGAACACGAAAAAAAGCGAATTTGTTTTCTATCCATGAGCAAATTTGCTGCAATGTCACCCTTCCATTCTCCAGCATAACCATACCAATTATGTGTGAGTAGTTGAATGGCGGTTTAACCGTAGTATCCGTTTGATAATTCAAAGCTGTTTTCTTATATTCTGCAAGGACTCTAAAACAACAGAAAGAAAAGAGAAAACTATGTTATACACTTTGTTTTGGCGACAAAATACTTTCAAATAGTTCCAAAAGTTGTGGAATATGTCAGTATAACTGAGTTGCTGTTCATTAGTCCCGCTAAAGCTCGAGAACGGCGAAATGGATCTATCTTATTTTGATGTAGAAATGCTCGTGGGGGCGTAGAGAGAGTTTAAAATGTAAGGCAAATTGCGGTTATTTGTCTGAAAACAATTGAAACATCCACCTTCAATCTATATATATATAAAAAATTAGTTGCTGTTTATCTTATATTGGTCTTGAAATAAGTCAGTCCAGTCCTGGCCCACTTTCCGGAGAGAAGAATAATCCTCCCGAATTTTTGTTTCTTGTAAACTTTTCAAGGTATCATAGAAACAATCTGATGAAATTTCAAGTCATTCGATCTGTAATTTTTAGAAATTTTTGGAAGTTACTGGCCTTTGCTGACAATTATTCTAATTTTTTTCATCTTTTTAACTATTTGTAGACCTCCACGAACATTTCAAGACAATGATGGAATTAATCCATTCAGCCGTTCTGGAGTTTTACCGATACTAAAAAGCTCCATTTCGTTTTTATATATATAGAAGATATAGATAATTTACGCATTGTAACAGCTGAAGCGATTTTCGACCGAGGTGGACCGCTTTGAGGTTTTGCTTCCTTATGTTTTCCCAACAAATGGAGGGACCTACAGTTCATACTAAGCCGCCTCCGAATGGCTGATAGTTTTTTTATGCGGAGCTTTTATTTGCTCTCCGAAATACACTCGGAGGGATTGACATTACCTGCCAATGGGCGACCGCAATAAGAAAATTGCAGCTGGGTTGCTTTAAATCCTTCTTATCAGGGTTGGCGTCGAAACCAACCTAGGTCCGTCGGACTACTTCTGCTCTTACAATTTAACTGCAACGGACTCCAAAGGAAGATCGACGAGATAGTCGACTGTATAGGCCGGGAGCTCCTGCCAATTGCTGCGATCCAGGAAACGTAGTTGACAGCCCGATCAGATCTTCTGAACCGGGCCGGATATAATATAATCCGCAAGGATCGCGAGCTAGGCCATGGTGGGGCCTAGCGTTCATCCTGCCCAACACCGTGCCACACCGCAGGAATACTACCCTAGAATGTCAGGACATAGCTATCCGGTCAGGCGATGGGGAGCTCGAGATATTTAATATATACATTTCTTCAGCTACAAGTTACCCAGTATATGCGCGCTACTAAGGGCTGAAACCCGTTTGGTTTTGGGCGATCAAATGACCGCAGGGGAATGGAGCTGGCTGAACAGAGACTGATAAGTCTCCCGTCTTGGTTTCCGTGGATCACCGGACATTTGTTAACTTCAAAATGCTAACTAGCCCGGTTTCACGGAATTCACCGAGAACGCCTTCAATTCCCTACCCACTCCATCAGACGTCACCACTGGTAAGCGTTTATTCCCCATGGTCGTCGTGATCGCTGCCGCCTGCTTCATCCCGGAAGGCCGAGTTGCGGAAATCCGCCCAAGTTTACCGACAGAAGCGGTGGTAAAAGCATCCAGGCGCGACACTCTTCGAAGCTCCGACAATAACAATCAACAATAACAAGCGGAAAAAGTGGCAACCAATCGCTGGGCTACAGTCAAGTCATTCTTTAACCCGACAAGACGTTTTACACTGTATCCTTCGGTAGACTAAGCAAAGCGACGTGTAAACCGCCGTATGCACAAACTACCAAACACCAGCGCGCCGCAAATGGTGGTATAGCTATACTCATAAGGAACCGTTAAAAGCACAGCTTTCTTAATACCTTAATACCTTTTGAACAAATTGATTGTAGTCAACTAGGGGGAGGTTGGCCTTACTTTGGCTGCGATTTATACTGTCCACCACGTTTTGCAACAACAGAAAAACAATTTAGTGACTTTTTCATGACTCTAGAAGAATGGTTCTTAGCTGGAGGTGATTACAATGCAAAACATACTCATTGGGGATCTAGGCTTAATAAACTGAAAGGTCGCCAGTTATATAATTCGATCATAAGTACCAAAACCAGATACGATTTTATTTCCTTACTGGCCTACGGACTCACGAAAATCACCTGACCTGATTGACTTTGCAGTCCCTAAAAACGTAGATAGGAGTTTAGTATTTGCTGAAAACAGTGCTGATTGATCTTCTGATCATTCCTCAATAATCATTAAATTGAACGAACAATCAATTGATAGTGAGCATGCTTTTCGACTTACTACATCAAGAATTAACTGGCTTAAAAATAAAGAAAAAATTGGAAATCATATACAGACCAATCCGTAAGTAGAGGAACTGATGTTGAATACGACATACTTGTATTTTACAGTATAATAGCAACAACAGCAACTATAGCCACACCAGAGCAAAACTCAAAAGCAAAAACATTTATAACTAATAGAAATATAGAATTACTGGTCCGAAATAAGCGACGTTTCCGTCGCGAATGGCAAGCAATTCAAAAATTCGTCTTCAGATGACGGAAAAAAAGCTAAAAACGGCATCAAGATGCGAAGAAGAAAGAAGTATTAAAAATCTGATAACGTCTTTCTACTAAAAAATCTCAATGGAAAGCTAGCAAAAGTTAAGAAGTAATTACCTCAACATTTGCGGATGATACTGCTACTAATTGTAGATTGTCTATCGAAATGGTGCATAAAAGTTAATTAAAACGAGTGAAAACACATAACATTTACACTAAAGCTTAAAACGTGCCCCACTGTTAAGCTCAACAATGTGTCGATCCCGCAAACTGACGAAATTACATACCTCGGAATCCACCTGGACAGGCCCTTAACCTGGAGACGACATATTGCTTCTAAAAAACTGCAGCTTTAACTCAAACCTCCCAGCTTACATGGACGGAATAAGTGTGCTGTTTCTAAAACTTCTAGGACCACCGCGTACAGTCTTCTTTACCAAGGTCCTCAACCTGTCTTTGACCACCCTAAAAATATTCCACATGTAGAGAATAGTCCGGGTACTCAAACCGGAGAAACCCGCCAAAAAAAGAAAGTCCTGTCAGCTGATATCTCTCCTCTCCCCAATAGAAAACATTCTTGAGGCCTTACTGCTCCCGATTTTCACACATCTTCTGTGCCCAGCAGTATATTAACGTAGCCTCCGCAAAGTGCACAGTACCACAATAATACTTAACGCCATAAACACTCAAACAGTCAAAAGCCTCAACCAAAGCCGGTCCTGCATGCAAACTGTCCTAGTAGTACTGGATCTGCCAAAAGCTTTTGACACGGTCAATCTTTCCGTGCTTTTATCGTTGAGGAATCGTCATTACTGCCGGGGTTGCAGATATGGACCATGGGCTACCTGAGTGGGTGCCAATCATCGGTAGAATTTCGAGGTCAAACAGCGAAACTCAGAAAGGGATTCCGCATAGTGGTATCCTCTCTGCATTATTATTAACTACTACATCTCGAAGCTCCCTTCTCCGCCAAAAGGGATTTCCCTTATCTCGTATGCCGATGGTTGCTCGATATTGGCGTCTCGGATGTCCCACCAAATGCGCAGCAGTACCTTCATCGGATGCAATCCACCTTTCGACATCGGTTCCGCCCCTTCGTGTGCCTGTTTCCATGTTCTTTTGCGTTGAACATAGTTGTACAGGATCCATTTTTCATCACCAAACTTCGCGAATATCTTTAGTTGCAGGGCCTACTGTTTTTCCTTTGCGGAATTCGTATAACATAATATGACGCATGTGATCTTTTTCGTTGTCCATCTTCCATGCGTCTTTTTACTAAGCAACTCAAATCAAAATGAAGTTATTTTATGCTTGATTTACAGTTCGGACTGTCACCTTTCCAACGATATATAATATGTATATATTTCTTTCACGAGCCCCACTCTCAAACGATTCGAACGGCATCCAGCGGAATCGGGCACGAACTTATGCACTCATCCAATATATTACCGAAAAATTGGATATTGTATGATGTTGAACTCATACCTATTTCAAATCGACCCCGACATACCTAACTTCGTCCACCATGTAGGGTCTCCCCGCACTATGTTATTGTTTTTTTGAAAAAGTATTCTGGCTTTTATGTTGATGTCGATTTTCTTCACAGGAACATTTATTGCAGAGGCTGGAGCAAAGAATGTTACGGTAATGGTGACATGATGTTTTGAGACTTGGTTAGCAGTGCGTGCTGCTATTTGACCAGGGTTCGAGTTCTTGTCCGACCAACATTCAAATATTGTACGAAATTTACTTAAATGAAAAGTTAAATAAAATTTGCAGTTTCGGACACCAAATAAAAGCTTTTCATACATCTGCTGTTCTGAAGCGACTTAGCATAACTATACGTACATGCATTTTTTTGTAGAAAACATTAGGCGCACACCACAAATTGGAGAAAGAGCCTGGTCGCAAATCCCTTAATTGGTTACAACGCATCATTTATTAATATAATCGGAAAAAAACTCAGGGATTACTTTTTGCTAGCAGAGCAAGTAGAGCTATATTAGCAAAAATTAGTTCTGATCGAACACATACCTTTAACTTAACTCTTGAACTCGATAAGTAACAAGTAAAAGTAGTTATGGGTTAATTGTGTTGAGTTTTTCAGATCAAAACATCGAGAAAAATCAATATTTAGAATCATATATTACCTTTTTATTTTTTCCAGGAACATTTCAAAGCGTTCGGTTGGTGTAGCTCGTTTCATTTGTACCTTTTGCGGATTGGTTTTGAGGTTTATTGTCGGCTTTTTAAATGTTTTCTCAATATATTTATTATTGCCAATCCATGATCGTTTTGAGATTTTGCTGGTGCATTCATTATTATTGCTACCAACATTTTGCTGCTTGTCGCACTCATGTGTTATAATTTTATTACACGAGCTCTTTACCATGTAACCCTTAGCCACAAAAGTCTTGTCTATGTTGTTATAAATGTTGGTGAAATTATTTTTATGTTCCATAAATGAACTGTTATTAGAATCCTGCTGCTTATTAGAATTAGATGTGTAATTGGTAATGACGTCATCGTCTGAAGTAACAAGTTGCATAACATTGGGCCAACAGAAACTTTGATTTCGCAACTCCATCAGCCATGTTAAACTAGTCAGATCACGCTCATCATCCGCCTCAATCATAACGTCAGTGTTATAGCCATCACAATTATTTGAAGAACTGGCTCTGGGCATGGACATTATTAACTTTATTTTAATTAAGCCGATTTAGAAAATCAAAAACAGAATATAATATTATAATATTGACAATAAGAAATATATTTATAACAAATAACAAAAAGAGGTATCAAGCTTTATAACCTCTGTATAATTTTGTATGGACATGAGTGAATTTATAATGATTCCGTTAGTATCGAAATAAATAGATTGAGGTTTTATGAAAGTAAAAAATTCGGGTTTTAATGTCGGAAATTCAAGTACTTTAATTTACAGTTATATAAAAAGATTTGCAGAACGTAATTGGTGATATCCATGAGGTGGGGGTTGTAAAACGATTAGTTGATTGCGGCGCTAATGGCTACAAATGCGATGAGCCATCCCATCCCTTGTTATTATTATTTTTTTTTGTACGATGAGTAATGGTTTTGCATAGTTTGAAGGTTGTGGATTATACAAAATACTGGGTTATACATTACTATAACAAACATCAATTTTGATAAAATACGTGGGGCATATGGATTGCTTCGCGATCTCTATGACTTCGTTTTACCGACAAGCTAAATATATAGTGACCTGCGCACTCTTTTAGAATGGCGTTATGCCAAACCGTTGTAATGTATTTTGAGCGCCGAAAGTCTTTCGAGGCTACAAAATGCGAAACCGAGTCATAAATCGTGCATTAAAGTAACCGTAAGGAGTGCCTTAGAGTAAGAGAGGTATATCATGAAGATCTAGGGTAACACAATGACCATCTCTTTGAATTTGAGTCTGGTAGGAAATCTTACTCCTATATACTGTAAGCCTAGAGCAATACCTTTGGCATGGAATTAGAAAATAGAGAAGCAAGTAAGTCAGCTTGCAAATAAAGTCTAGGGCCTGTAATAGTGCAGGTAGAAAACCCTGACTGGGAAACACTGCTAGTGCCCACTCTTAAGCCATGTTGAGAAATACGACTATATGGCGACTACAGGCCTACCGTAAATAAGTATTTAACGGTTGATTACAGGTGGTCACAATGTAAATACACATTTAAAAATATGAGACGGTATTACAATATATAAGCTGAAGTCGGCCGGACAAGTTACTAATTTAGGTTTCTTGATAGAGGAAAATAGTTTAAAACAAATTAAATAGAATTTGAGTGGTGCGGAAAGCGCCTGCTCCCAAAAACTTTTCGGAATCTCGGGTGTTTATAGGTATTTCAAATTATTACGCTAGGTTTATAACAAATTTGATCATAAAATGAGTCCACAAATTATAATAAAAAGGTCGTAAAATTTGAGAGGAAAAGATTGTGCCAAGTTGCCTACAAATTGTTAAAGTAGGAAACTATTTCTGATGTAATTTTTGCTCGATTTGATGCAGACCTTGCAATATTTATATCTACTGACCCATCTTACGTGGCAATAGCTGGTGTACTGTCCTATTTGTATCCTGGTGCAAAGTACAGCCCAATAGCATTCATTTCGAGTGCGTTCACGCAATCTGAAAAAAAACTATAGTAACATACAAAAGGAAGCAATAGCCATTATATATAGCTTAAGTAAATTCTGAAAATATTTATTGGAAAACCATTTCGTGTTGCAAACAGACCATAGCATATTAGTCAAGGTTTTCGGAGAGAACAAAGGCTTACCAGTTATGGCGGTAGCAAGTTTGCAATCTTTATCTTATCAGGATTTAACTATACCATTAGACAGGTGAAATGCTCTTTAAACTTTGCTGGCCACCTGTCTCGAATACCACAAATACCGTCAGAAGGAAATTATGTAGAGTGTGATAACGTAGGGTATATTTGAAGTAATAAGAGGCTTAATCCTATTTTTAAAAGGGTAGCTATTGAAATAAGGCACACTCATTCCTCACATTTGAGAATAGTAAAGAGGAAAGATTTAGAAGGGTCGTATATATGGTCGCCGCGAAAAAACCGAAATATTTAACGAATGATTACAAACTGCGTGCCTTGCAGATTTTCTCAACCTAGCTCGCTCAAAAGTGTGCTGATACCTTGGCTGTTAGCAGATAGGCCTTGTTCAAGAACTCATGTGGACTTCGCTGTGCATATACATAATTCTGAATTTTTAATAATAATGTGCGCTTACTCGAAGTAGGACGTGATATTCAAACAAAGGACTACTCAGCCGATCACTTTTCGATTACAGATTACACAAGCACTGCTCTACACTCGAAATACCTGTGAAGCAGGGAACTGAAAGCTATTGGGTTGCCCAAAAAGTAATTGCGGATTTTTCATATAGTCGGCGTTGACAAATTTTTTCAACGGCTTGTGACTCTGTAATTGCATTCTTTCTTCTGTCAGTTATTAGCTGTTACTTTTAGCTTGCTTTAGAAAAAAAGTGCGCGAAATTTTGTTTACATTTGTTTGTTTGGCGTCAATTTTAATATGGAGCCCACGAAGGAGCATTTGCGTCATATTTCACTTTATTATTTCCATAAAGGAAAAAACGCGGAGCAGGCTGCTAAAATAAAAAACTTTTTAATTTTTTTGTGGACAGTCTTCCTTTTCGATGTGAAATATTTTCTTTTTACTTTATCAACTGGAAACTGGTAATTTGACATGGACGAAAAAAGCAGTGCTGCCAAATTTTTTTCGAACATTGTAGCCAGTTCGCCAGAATACCAAATTCAATTTCGGGTGTTAAAGAAAAGTAACAAAATTTACTTAACCGGTAACAGTGAGAATAGGCCTGTAAGACTCAATGTTAATCAGTTTCAGATATTTCAAGCTAATTCATCTCTTACATCACATTTAAAAAAATTCATACAAAATCTTTTTTTTTAAATTATTTTCTTTTTTAAAAAATGCAATCCATATTCTCAAAAATCATTGACTTAACCATATTCAAGGAAATAAGAAATCTAATGATCTCCGAAACAGCTTTCACTTCTACTATTTTTCTTTAATACAAAAATATTCCATTTATATTAGCGAATAGGCATTTCTTCCACTAATTTATAACAGACATTGCCTGGTATGTAAAAACCAATTCAGCAACAAAAACATAAATGCTTGTATTGCCTTGCTGTTTCGGGGTTAAAGACAGATACAAATATTAACTAACGAAGCCCGCTTACTGTTTTTTTGTTTTTTTTTTTTAAATATTCTCTATGCATGCGCTGGAGCCAATTGTCGAATCACTTTGATTGAAGTAGTTCCAAAAAAGTGCTCTAATCACATCGACCGCCTCTTTAGGTATCAAAAAAATTTGATCTCTCAGCTTATTTAAAGAATGAAAAGAACTTATTTGGTGCCAAGCCAGGACTATATGGTAGATGACTCGCCAAATCGCTTTTTTGAGAGCTCAAAAATACTGATGTTTTAGTCGAAGTGTTGAGTACTCAAAAATACTGATGTTTCAGTCGAAGTGTCTTGGTGAAGAGTGGTCCGTCCCCGATGAAAGGTTTTTCTGATTTTTTGATAGAAAACTGGCAACAAAATGGTTGTGCAACACATGGAATTTACTGTATTGCGTTGTTCTAGTGATATGGTTGCGATATTTTCAGATTTTCTCCACAACAGGCAACCATTTGCTTGAAAGTGCTTCGTGCGCAACAACTTGATTTTCAGGCATTTATAGAAAGGCTGCAGATATACTAGCCCTATTCCAGGTATTATACTTATTCTGAAGACAGATCTAGTAGTAATGCAATAAGAGGCGTACTTCCACAGGTAGTTAATTGGCAGGAGAAGGCATTTGCTTACGGCAGCCGATCTATTGGAAAGCCGAAACAGAACTACTGTGTTACTTGGAGAGAACTGCTGGCGTTACTGTATTGCAACAAACCTTCCCACAAATATCTGTCCGGATGAATCTTCCGACCTAAGGCGGCAGAAGAGTTGGAGGTAATTCCCTTACGGAGAAGTCAACACAAAGATCTGGAGTTGGGAATTCTAATTCACGGACTGGAAATGGATAGACGGCCAGGTAGGGGTTATATGCCAGCAGAAAGTCCAATTGTAAAAGCATACTGAGCGCAAAGGGGCAGTTATCTGTTTGGAACAGCAAATATATCTGATCCGGATGATCATATTTAGGTGGAGGGCAGTTCGGCTTAAGTGGCAAATATGAATGACTTATGAACAGGAGACACCGATAACTAAAGCACTTTCTAAAGTACGAGAATCGAATATTCTGTATATCGTAAGAGCATTCAAGAAAATTCTAGAACTAAGGAGCAATTGATGAGGTAAGGCTGACAAGCTGATGACGACAGAGTTTCGTTTTTAGGTGGCTTAGTTATCACAATTATCTGCTACTTTTTCTATGTTTGGTGATAATATCCTAGCTTTAATGTGACACTGAAAAGCCAATGCTTGGCAATTATTTTAGAATTTTTGGTGACGATTGTCTCTAGCAGATTTGTTGGGATTAAGGGCGGCAATAACATTTTCAGTTAGTTCGGTGCACTATTTATGGCAGTATTTGGTTGAAATACTATACTAAGATGCTCTGTAAAACAAGAAGTCTTTTCTTCATCCGTTCTGGCCCATGAACCGTATCGCAGTCTTAACAGTACTTTCGTTCTGAAGGGATTTTTGGCAGAGCTCCTCCTCCAATTGTCTTGATGTTTTTCCAACAATTGAAGGGACTTACAGTTTATACTAAGCCGTCTCCAAACGGCTAATGGTTTTTTATGAGAAGCTCTGTTTTATGTCCAAAATAGACAAGGAGGGGTGGACACTTCCTTTCGAGGGGCGACCGCAATTAGGAAATTTAAAAACTCGGCTACTGCGGCGGTCAATGCTTACTGGGTATGCTCATATTTGCCTTCCAACTCTTCCGTCCATACATTTATGCCATTCTCCACGTCCTTCTTGCCAATGCAATCGGCTCTAAACATTTTTCTGCAGTTGAAAATGGCGTCCAATGGCGATATTGTCCCAATACAGTTCCTTTTCGAAAATTTATTGATGATTTCAAATTCATGTAATACCCGAACTGTAATGTATTTATCCTTTTTCGTCTTTACCAGGGTCTTACCATTAGGTACGTCCGAA